AAGGAAAAGTCCCAAGGTGGACATAGGCAATATTAATTGACTCAGTGACTCAAAGAGGATCCCATTACCAACTCCGGTTCTTTCCATCTTTCTGCTCTGCCATTCTCAGCATGTCGACTTTGCCTCTTGGGCTTCCTCAAGGTGCTGACATGGCAGTACTGTTCTACACATTATACGCAGACAACACTGTCCAGAGACAATGAAAGAGGACATACTAGTGTCTTAAGGCCATTTTTGAAGGGAACTGAAGGGAACTTCCCCAGCAGCCCCCAGCAGATGTGTCATTTCTCCTTGGCCAGAATGCCCTTGCCTAATTCAGTAACACGGCAAGAGGCACGAGCCCACTCATCAAGATTCTCCCTTTGGAAGCTATATTCCAGACTTCCTGGAATATAGAAGAATCTACAAATGAATATGGAAGAATATGGAAGAATCTACAAATTGCAGGGTCCTGTTAACAAGCATGAAGTACTTAAGAAGATGATGGCTGTTGGGTCAGCCCCAGGAAGAGTCCAAGCAAGGAGGGCTGGTCACAGGAGCACCCCAGACACAAGGGAACAACAATTCAGGAGCTTACGAGGTTTGAGCAGATCCAGAGTGGCTTCCGCCGGCCTGGGAAGGTTCCTGTGGTCTCCCTTCTGAGAGCCGGGGTGGGTCAGCTGCTGGCGGGTCTCAGACTCTGACCCCACAACGCAGTGAGACAGCACACTCAACAACAGACCATATGTAACAGAACGGACCCATAACCTCTGCAGCAATAGGGCCCAAACAGGACTTGGTCACTAACTGCCAGCTTCCCTATTTTTTATTTTTTGCCCGTCCCACTTAGGGCCAACCGGAGAAAGCAAAATAATTCTCCCCTAAGCAATCCTAAACCTACGAGGCCCGCTTATAGCTAGGCGGTCTCAGCTTCCACACTCGACACCGGCCGCTCCCCTGCCCGCCTCTGGCCTCCGCGGAACGCACAGGATGGCTGCGGACTGCCTCGCTGTAGCGGGTTCTGGGCCGACAGCCGTTCCTAGCCCCCTTCAAGGCGTCTTCGTCCACTTCCACAGCGGGTCGAGGTGACTGAAAGGCCGACCAGGAAAGGGTGCGGCCGAGCGCAGTTCCGACACGAACCCAGGCCTCGACGCTGGTCGCAGACGCCGGCCACTCTGGCGTCGCGGCCTCGGAGAGTGAGTCGCATCCGTGAACCCGGGCTGCGGGGAGAGGCGCTCCACGGAGCACAGCCTAAGAAAAACAACTGTCCGTACCATAACACGAGCCGCTATAACGAGTCTCAGGCCGCCGCCGGGGACGAGACACCCCCGCCCCCGACGCAGTCTGGGAGAAACGGCCGCCGCCGCAGCCGCGCTGCCTTCTGGGACTTGCAGTTGGTTGCGCCGAGCGCGCGCACTTCCGCCGCCCACCGGAAGCACCGCCATTGCCGCGCGCGCTCCGGGGAGCCTGAAGCCCGGGACCGGCGTGGAGGCTCAGCGGTGGGCTGGGCGGGGCCAGGGCGGGCCGCGGTGACCTGCGCCGCGCCGGAGGAGGTCCCTTCTCCCGCCCGGCTGCGCACGGGCGTGTCAGATGCGAGTCCCTCCGGCTGCAGAGACCGGGAGGAAGCTTGTGCAGCTGAGCGCGGCTGGATGGGATCTTGTCTGAGGTTCTCCTACTCCGGGACAGAAGCCCTCCTGCTGCAAAGGAGGCCAGGTGTTGAGGCTTCAGGCCGGCATATGGGAATCTGGGGCCTGCCCACCCAGACGCGTCTTTTTTTCCTCCCTCGGCTCGTTAACGCCGCCTACCCCGGAGGCGCTCTGTGCGGGAGGTGGTGGCCCAGAGCCTGCAGGCAGCGGCCCCGGCAAGTGAGGCTTTCTTTTCCCCAGCGTCCAGCCCAGCCTCAGAACTTGGACACGTTTTCTTCCACTGGTACGTGATCTTGAACTCAGTTTGAAGACAAAGTGCATGTTTTCCAAGTGAACAAAGAATTAGAGGCAGTCCAGGTAGAGCACCAGCAAACTCTGCGTCCACGGTGTTGAGGTCCCAGTGTTGGTTGTGTTTGTTGATACCCCATGTTAGGGGCTGGGTGACAGAGGGGCTGGAGGTGTAAAGAGCCGGGACGTGAAGCTGTCCTGTGCGTAAGGGCTTAGAGTTGGATTTCAAAGAGCCTCAGAGTAGAAGCATCTGGCTGTAGAAATAACTCAGTGCAAGAGAGAATGCAAAGGGAGTGGGAGTAGCTGAGGAGGACTCTGAGTTTCCATTTCTAGTGAGGAACTAGGATGGAGGTCACAGAGAGAATTCCTGGTCACCCAGATGTGTTGAGTTGAGGAGTCTATGGGATGTAGGGCTGGAAATAGAGGAGGAAGTGGCAGTGGCAGGGAGGTCTGGGCTGAACATGAAGCCTGGGGCAGCACTTGAGACCCCACCCCACAGGCAGGGAAAGAGCGAACTGGAAAAGGAAGGAGAAAGCAGCCTCCGCCCCAGCCGTGCAGACCGAGGGACCCTGCCACACCAGCCCCTTCTCAGGTCCAGCATGAGGAATAGAAGGGGGCTTTTATGTTCAAGTATAATCGATGTGACTAAGTCTACTGTGTCCTGTGTGTCAGTATGACATTGAGCTCTATAAATGCAACTCATTCAATCACAGCAGCACCATGACACAAGACCAGCTATTGTCCCAGATGTCTACAGAAGAAGAAACTGAGGCCTAGGGAGGTTAAGGAGGTCTGTTTAAGAACTAGGAATTACAGGGCGCCTGGGTGGCTCAGTTGGTTAAGCGACTGCCTTCTGCCCAGGTCATGATCCTGGAGTCCCGGGATCGAGTCCCACATCGGGCTCCCTGCTCAGCGGGGGGTCTGCTTCTCCCTCTGACCCTCCCCCCTCTCATG